GCAACGACATATTTTGGTTGCAAAAAGTCTATCATAACAGCTATGCCTGGAAGCTTCTCAAAGACCTATTGCAACTAAAATTTTATTAGTCGCAAAAAACCTTTCAATTTCAATGTAATGCTAATTTTTTTTGTAATACCTGTAATACATTTGCAATTAATGTATAATTCATGTTCATCCAATTAATTTCAACATACCAATCCATCAACAATCCAATCTACAAACAAAAAACCATCAAAAGAAAGTCAAAATAATAATTAATCTATCTAATTACTACCACCTGTCAACATGAACACATTAATATTTGACAAAATAACCATCTATCCATCCATTTAGTTTACAAAATAACCACCCATCCATCCATTCATCCATTTAGTTTACAATGAATTCCCCACATCAAAAACATATTTAACAAAACCATCAAAGATTTCAAAAACCATTCATGTCCAAGTGCATGCCATATTTGCCTGATGCGAAATATATCAAAAACTCCACGTATAAGCACAACTTAGAATTAATGCATCGGCAAACTCACGTCCACAAACACGCATGACTATACCTCTAGCTACTTGCAATAAAAATAAATAAAAAATGAAGAAAGCGTTGTTAATAATAATATTTTTGCTTACATTTTTATTTAATTTTATAAAATTCTGTGAATCTAATTCCACTCCCAAACCAGCAATCGCACAGAGCCTTACTAGAAAGTTCACACAAAAAAAAAAAAAAAAAAATTATCCCAAAAGAAAATAGGGAATCAATAGAAATGCATAAATAGTACTGAAATACCTTAACTAGAAAATAGGACATTTTTCTGGCACCAACCTTTGGAAATCCAACGATTGAACCAGCTGTCAAAATTGTTCTCTGCAATGTGCTAGTCCATATCTAGGCCATAAGCAAAAGCACACAAAATGCCTGTAAGAATTTTTGGAAGCAAGCTTGTACAGAAATTTAAGACATATATATTCATCATTAACATGGCATTTGTATACTCTAGTATGGTAACTGAGATATACGTTCCTCTCCTAAGAACAAAACTAAGCATTTGTTTCCAGAAAGCATGTCTAAATGCTATTCCAATGGAAAAAAATTCTAAATGGATCCAACTCCAATCCAACTGCTAGCTGTGACATTTTCATGTTTGATTTTTATTTTTTAGTTGGTATAGAGGAAAAGAACAGCAAAAAACAAAACTAAGCAGGCCTACTGTACAGTGCCAAAAGCAGAGCACTAATTCTTGGGGGGATCTACTAGGCCTACAATGCATAAACTTTTTGGTTTAATGGCTGCAATACGGTAATGCTGTTCTCCTCTTTTATTGGTGAAGTTGTAGAATATAATTTTTCTATGTAGTTCAGAGTCATAGATTCATCCCTAGTGTATAAAAGGCAAGACAAAATCATCTAAAGGAAAGGCTTCCTAGCCACCAAATGTGGTGGAACTAAACTAAATTGCCATCACAGCATGTCATCTTTGTGATGCAGTCCACAAGCAGGCCCCAAGATGGTGAAATGAACGGCTAACAACCACAGCCTTAGGCAATTGTGGGGTGGTGAAATGAACGGCTAACCACAGCCACAGCCACAGCCTTAGGCATTAGAATGATCTGATTATACAGCAAAGGCTCCAAGATAACCCAAACAACCTGCGAAAACTGATGCTAGAAGGATGGCCAAAGAAAGACCGGTGGGTTTTATCTGGTTCTTACTTCCTGGTAGTATCTAGGCTTTTTTTTTTCCCCTCCCTTCTTCGGGGATTTTATTACTAGAGGGACTGAAGCCCAAGTTGCATCATGCCTCAGCCCCCATGATAATAAAAGAGAGGTTTCATTGTCATAATTTTTCAAGAACTACACCAATCAGGATCAGGGTGATTGAATCAAGCTAATGATCAGCAATCCACCTTTTTTTTATATCAGCCTCCTGGTTGGGGAGAAAAGTTACAGAAATTAACTGACAGAATATCCCATAAGTTATCATCCTCACAACAAATAAAGAGCATGAAGACAGGTTTCCTTGGAAAGGAAAAGAAAAGTTTTGTGGATGTTTCGAGTTTGAGCAAAGATTGACAGAACACACAAAGAATCAATCTTACACAAGTAACCATTCATAGAATGCCTTAAAATTAGTTAATATGTATCTCCCGAACTTTGTAAGCATAACATCGATTATCAAATTTTCTAGTTGTATCATTCATAGAATGCCATTGCATGCACAATTATCACAGATAGTATTTTAACCATGAGCATAATAAACATGATTTTCTATACTAGTTTCCTATAGAGACCAAGTTATCTAAGCCTATATCAATACATGATAGTCCAGGTAGACACTTACTAAGTTCCACTAATACAGCAATGTTCTGCAAGTGATCATTTCTTACACTACTAGTCAACAATTGCAGAATACATGGTCGCTAATAGGAGTGATGTTTTGGTGAGCATGGAAATGAAAACATTTTGGAAACATTTCATAAACATAAGCAGAGTGACAAAATAATTTGGAGAAGTATGGATATGTATGGAAACAAACACTAAAACATATTGAGGTCTAAATATCTCTTTACATAAAGGGCATCTGGAAGTAAACACAATCTGAACAAAAAAAATGTTAAATTAATGTCAAAGTGAGGATTTAAACGTGCATAAGATTCCAACCAAGTAAGGTTTTACAAAATTATAAAAATTAATATTAATAATAAGCAAACGTTAAAAGGTTTCAAAGGTGTAGGAGGTCTTTGGGAAAACAAGGTAAACCATTTTCTTTTTTCTTTTTTTAGCAAGACTAAGGTTCAAATTCAATAAAGATCCATGAATATTAGAGAATCATAAAAAAGTTTAGAAGGGCTAATAAGGGAAGGGGATTTGCTATCGTAAGAGAAAACAAAAGATTCGCAAGATTCTAGCAATAATAGAGATGAGAAAAAAGAAGAAGAAAAAGAGTACCAATAGTAACGAAGTGAAAAATAAGTTACTTAAGCAAGCATGTTTTATTCTCTCTCTCTCTCTCTTTCTCTTTCTCCCTTTCTCCTTTCTTCTCTTTACTTTCTCATATTAATCTTTTCTTTTACTGAAAAAAGGAAAATAGAAATGAGCATTAGGTGCCAAAATAACTCATTATTTTGGCATGTTTTGTAATGCTTCAGTGAGTTTCGGTGCATTTAAGTGGAAAGATTGGCATTATGGTATTCCACTAATGTTTTGTGTTAATTTTCTAGAAAAAGATAAATGTTTTGGCCGTTCACAAACAAAATTTTGTTTCTTGATATTTACCCGAATAACTTAAGGCCAACGAGCTTGGTGCAGCACAAGAAATAAACAGGAAACTTTGTCCAATCATTATGGTAGCAGGACTTCTAATATTTTCTTATCACACTTGCCTGCTGGGAAAAAAATAAAATAAAATAAAGAAAGGCAATGCCAAAGAATTAACAGGAGGAAACAAGTTATACTAAACCCAAAAGCCTTATCCCAACCAAATTAAATAATATATAATAAAACAGAGGATAACATACCAAGAAGAAGACAATTCTTCCAGGAAGACAGCCACTGATATTGTTTACCTGAAGAAAAAGGGACCATAAAAAATAAAGAAAGATCAAACCTCACTTTATAAACCTATGGATGGTGTCTAAATTTCGAGCTATAATAAGATATAGAACCATCTAGGAAAATGTTTTCGTAAAGAACAAAATTGTGTGAAACTGAAGTATTTCATTCAATTTACATAAAAATCCATGGAAAAAGGGCCACTTTTTTCTACCCAAATATACCCAAGTGCACCATCCAACATGTGCCAAGAGAAGCTAATCAAAGTGCTGATGCATTGGCCAACATTGGTGTAAACCAAAGAGCACTTAATCTTTCTTGATGATCCACCTTGCAATGTAACTTCCTTACAAGTAGCGGACATGATCTCTGCAAGTATGAGGAGGGACTAAGTATTTCCCCTCTTTGTTTTGTAAGACTGAATTTTATCTTCTATCTTAACTTTCATTTGAATCAAAATATATATATATATATATATGTAACCATACAAAATAGAAGATGTAAGAGAAACGTCCATATTGTAATTTTCAGATGATGTCATATTTCCCAGCTTGGAAGCATTAAATCTCGATGGAAACTGGAAACATCGGCTACCAAGATCATAAAATTGCATGGTGAATATATGCAAAGAAACCAAAAAAGTTTCCTCATTCCTGTCTATTATCTTAAGCCAATCAAATTGAATTTCAGATGACCAGGAGAAGATATAGAGAATGTTCAAGTAATTCATTCCTGGTAAGTAATTGTGGCGTACAAAAGATTTTCACTTTCAACATTGTTTTAAAGAAACCTTTATCGGGAGAAACAAAAATTACCTCTTGCTTCTCAGTTTTTGATTAATGTGATGAAATTGGGGCATTGTGGAGGTAAACACAAACCAACCTTATCACAACTATAAGCAACAAGAAAATATTGATATGGTCTACACTATCCTTAAAGAGTGATCTTAGCTAAAAGATTTATGCACTTCTAACACCAGCAATCAAAAACTAACTCAAACTACAAGAAGTCACTCACCCATCACACTAACTTGCACTAGTAATTAGTATTTCCTTGATGATATTTCCAATCAAGTGGTCCACAAATCCAAAAAAAATTGCTTCAAGAATGTAAGTTAAGGAAAAATAATCTATTTGGAATATCAATTTTATGCATATGTTCTTGACGACAACCTTACAATCTACAATTACAAACTAAATCTTCACAAAATAGAGAGAGGATACTCCTACTTATAACAGAAAAAATAAAAAGTGATCAGGGTACTTCCAAATCAAAAGGTGTCCATTTCTCACAATTGACATGTTCAGGGTGTCCATCGTAATTTTTTTTTTGTAACTCCCTTGATATCATGTACAGAAACAGAAGACAACATTTGACATCTTTCAAGTAATAAATATTCAAAATCAAAAGGACAACAATAAAAATAAAAAATAAAAAAAAAATGAGCTCAACTTACTTGTATTTGTCCACCTTGACCACTGACCATATCAATCATTTTGATGTATGATCCTTCTTCTACTGGCTCATAAACCTATAATATGCATAGAATTTGCTATCTTATAATCATATACTCCATTTCTCAATGCTATATTTCAAAAGAATAAGGATAAAAAACACAAGTTCAAAAAACTACCTTTTCATAATTTTCTACTCGCTTTTTGAAGTCTTGATATCCAGCTTCAAAATCTGTCCTAAAGGGAAACAACATTTACTAAGTATAGAAGTGTAGACTAAGATAATAATTTGCTCATTTTAGTAAGCAGCCATACTCCTCTACATAGTCAGGGCTTTGTTGAATTTTAAGACGTATGTTTCTTTCAATAATGCGCTCATCATTGCATATTGTCTCCAAAAAAATAATCTGTACGGCAAAGCATATAGCATGCATAAGACATTAACGAGTTTAAGATGAGATCAACAACATATCAATAAAATTTCTAACTATGCTAATTTAGCCACAAACAACCATATTTGTTTAGCTTGTTCACAAATTTACTATGAAATGTAGATGAGATATGATCTTAAGTCTTAAAGATGAAACATTTCACATAGGAAAGCTCAAGAAATAATTGGCCTTCTTGGCCTGCTATGCAGCAACATGATACTCTTCACTTTTGTATCAATTTTGTCCTTGGAGAATTCTTAGTAATCCTGCCGCAAACATGCAATGAGCATGTACCTTGCATTTTCCTTCAACCATTTTCATAAGCATATTCCTTCGTTTCCTCGTACTGTTTGTGGCATAAAATATTCCCACCTACACTTAATTCGAATAATGAATTAAAAAAATAAAAAAAAAAAAAAAAAGATACAACTGAGGTGCACTGTACAACTTATACCTGCCCACCTTCTTGCATCCAAGCTATCATATCATCCATTGCCAGAGCTGCAACCTAGTACCACACGACGTATTAAAACTATGTGCAAAGAAAAAGGTTAATACAGTGTATATGACAAAATGTAATGTAATCATCCAAGAAAAGGCAAATACAGTAGTTACAGCACTATTGGCAACATATTAATCTGCTGCTTTGTGCTACTTGTAGGAATAAGCATTTTGAAATGCTATAAATGATTAAGGTCTTGAAAAGGAAAGCAACTTGAAGGCATGAAATGTTTTTTTTAACTAGATATGCATGCACTCAAATACATATAGAACTGCACAGAATATTTACTAGAAAACTACAAATCATAAATAGTATGTCGGATGTCAAATAAAATGAAGAAAAAATTTAAAAAAAAAACCTTGCTTTCTTAGCTAATGAAGTTGGTCAATAAAAAGGCCAAAATCTGGATTTAAGCAGATGTTCACCACTAACTCACTGTCCACCCAACAAAAAAGATGGAAATCAATACCTCCTTTATTAATCACATCAACCTTTATGGAAGGGTAAAGAAAAATTAGGATTGACCAGCATCATGGAGAATCTTAATAGCTCCTAACCGCAGACAAAGTACTAGATACAATGGCACATAAATTTCAACTAAATAATAATTAATGGAGCCAAAGTTAGTGCCAACCAAATAAATGCCGCCTGGAGTTTGAAAGGTTTAAGAAACAATAGAGGCAATCAAAGGATCACACATGCAAAGAATACAATAAAAATGGCACATTGGAAAAAATTGAGAAAATTAAGTGGATCGATCAAATTTGAATTGAAAATGAAGGGCATGATTTAAATTTAAACACTTTTATCACGGCCTCATTTGAATTCAAATAACAAAGTAGGGGTTCTTATCTTGTAAATGGCCCACTAAAAATAAGACCATCACACAAAGAGTGGAGTCATGCATAGAGGCAAACATAATAAAGTGAGATTTGATCCAAACAATTTAGTTTTATGCAACCTTTTTGAATTCCCTAACTTTCCGAAATTTAAAATAATTTTTTTTTAGGAATTCAATTCTATTCAAATTTGTGCAATAGTATCATCTAGAAGAGGTGAATGGATGAATGTTAACATGGGGTTGGTTCAAATAGATTCAAATTTGAAAATTCATAACCAAACAAGTTTTGAATTTAATTTTCTAAAAACTATTTTCAAAACTAAACCAAATGCAATGGAAATCATTTCAACTCTAATCAACATGAACTGATAGTAATGAAAATATAGTAAGTGCTAGAAGTGCGAGAAAATTATATACCTTTTTGCGCTATCTAGACAAAAGGCTTTACAAAAAGAATGTGTTCTTTATGACGAAAAAGGAAAAAAGAGAGTTGAAGCTCACATCAAATGTGTTTAAAAAGGTTGTCACAACTAGTGTGTGTTTTATAAAAAAAAAATGTGGTTGTGTATGTGTGTGCACAGAGAGAAAGAGAGAGAGAATCACCACAAAATAGTTCCATTGATCTATAATGGTCTTCTAAATCAAAGAAGCATACAAATTACACCTTGAAAGACAATCAAAAAACATAATCAAATCTTTGTTCAAATGGAAAGGGATTTGCTTTTTTCAAAGAGAATGGGATTGTTCAAAAATTGTCCAAACTTTTTTAGCCATTGTTGCAAAATAGATTTTAATATTTTAACCAACAGTTTTGAACCTCAATCTTTTACCTCAGAAATCCTATGCGACTCCTTTAAGACCACGATCGTGATCTATCGAATTGAATGAAATGATTTAAGATAGAACTTTTTCTGCTATAAGACTAAAATAGAACATAAAATTTAAAATTTTGTTTTATCTTCAGCCAAACAGGGTTAAGAAGTCAAACTTGTGAAACTGTAAAACATTTATTATTATCATGAGACCTAAAAATCACTTCTAAATTGACACCTTGACCTCGTGAACCGAGAACTTCTTAGTGAAACATTGACCCTTTGAATTTCCTAAATTTCAGTTCACTACTTGTCACCACGAAACATTATTTATCAAAAAACAAATATATCAAATGTATCATACTCACTCAAGATTCTTCCAAAATAGAGCAATCAAATCAAACAAAAGTAAAAGAACCAGCAAAAGATCCAACAATCACCAAACACCCAATAACTAACAGACCTAAAATATTATAAATTTGTTCAAATATTTAGGAGTAATCAAACAAATGAAATAAAGAAAAACGTTATGTGAGAAAAACAATTTATACCTTTGATTATATGAAAAACCCAACAACTAATGACATGTAGTAACAAAGATGTCAAAAATTGTGTATCTACAATACCCAAACAATTTTTGTAAGTAATATGAAATTACGTCATGTGTTGTTAAATTAACATAGTAAATAACCCAAAATAAACATATTGTGTTAAACAAAAGTACCAATCAAAGCTACAACGTCAAGCAATTTTAAACCCATGTTTCAAATTCCCCCACCGAATGTAATCAAAAACTTCTTGTAGCTAATATAAATCCATTACACTTCTGGAGAAATTAAACAGATGATTGTGTAATTTTTTACTAGAAAAGCATCAAACACTAAGAATAGTCTATACAAGAACTTGGTCTCTTCTTTTCATCCACATTCTACCGTATGTAGTGTTTGATTATGACTCATATTTAGTTATGACATTTGTTATAATCCACAACACAAATATTATAACATACATATGGTACACACCCCAAAAGGGGTGTAGTGGCATGACCCATACATACCACTCATAAACCCATATAAACTCTAGTTTGGAATGAATCAAGAAATCAAAGACCCCAAAAACAGAAGAACAATAATTTTTTAAAGGCAGTACTTTGTTTCCAGTATCTTCATCCTCTTGTAGAAAAACCAATAAACAACAACAATTATTTAATATAATTTTCAAGAAAAAAAATAGTACATTCAAAGTTAGAAGAACATATACTAATTTTAGTCCAAAAAAGCCTTCAAGTGTATGTACAGATTGAATAACAAAAAGAATCAATCAAGAATAGATAAAAAAACAAAGTCAACACTGCAAATGCAATGTGTTTAATCAGTAACAGCTTAACTGATAGGCCATTAAGACATTTGTTGAAGGCCTCAAGCATTGAAGAGGTCCCAAATATTTATCTATTTTAATACGCTACATAATTACTTTTCTCATTTACTATTAGCTTTTACCTTTTTCTAGTAAAGGATAAAAATGCAAAGAGTCCTCATGTTTACATATATTTTTTTTTTAAACTGCAAAATGATTAGAAAATTGAGTATCGCTTTTCTCTCCCTAACTTTCTCTATTGTCCTATTCCACTGTAGAAAGTTCAACTTGTAAAAGCCTACTTGTCTAATTTCTCTCTATCTTCCTACTGCAACAGTAATACACCATTAGAAAATCCAAAATTCACTTTTTCTCTCTCTTTTGTAGATGCAAAAATAATTCAGGTAAAGAAACAAGCAACAAGGAACAGTCCAAAGATCTCAATATACAGTGATAGATACAGGGCAGACCCAACTCTCTCCATTTTGAATGCAGCAACTGTTCAATCTCTAACTTTGGTGATTTGGCCATTTGAAGGTAAGTAAATACATCAATTAGCTTATATTATTTTACTATAAATTTTCTTTTACACATTACTCAGTTAAAATAAGTGTTTGTTTTATTTGTCTAGATTTTTTATTTGACATGTATCTAATAAAAAATTGGATATGCCAAACTTTAAAAAATATATATTAATAAAACTTAATGTCTAGGCAAGACATACATGGCAAAAAAAAAACCAGTATGCCTTAAAAAAAAAATTCAATAGTCAATAATAACTATTATATGCATAAAATAACCAACATCATATTAGTCATAACTAGTATCATTTTGACTCTGCCCCTGGAAGAAGCAAGACATATATGGCCAAAAAAAAAAAAAATGCTCTTCCATCAAAGTGGAAACATATTACGGAGAAATGAAGGCTTCTAGAAATTAACCACACAAAAAGCTCATGTCTAGGCAAGATTCACCATACCTCAAGGTTACAACTGTTAAAAGAACCAAGCAGCTGGAGCCTTGAGTACAATTTGTTTGGTGTTTGCAAAATTTAGATTGTTGAGCTAAACGAACAAAGGTCAAGTTCTATGAATCAACCCAATTTGAAAGAAATCAAACTAGGCAAACCAGAGTACACTAAAATATTTTTAGTAATGCATGTGAAAGAGAGTTAATGTATGACATGACAGGTTGTGGGAATTTTTGTCCAATTCCAAATATCAGGCAGGTCATTCTGCTAATTTTACTCCTTGAGTTTTGTTAAAGCTGATGGACGGACAAAGTGAGAATCCATTCTAATGAACCGTGATTAAAAAAATCCCTACTTTCTGACATTTTACTCAAAGGCCCCTATTCTTTTGACTTTCCAACAACGTAAAGCTTATCCAAGATTAGGAACTCGGTCTTTTGTCTGAAAACGTTGAGCTGAGCTTGAGCAAGATTGGCTTAGCTCTTGCCAAGTTTGAAAACAGTCTACTCCTCACCAGCCAAGGTTAAGCAGCTAGAAGTATGCTTACAAATTTTACTCCTCACCAGCCAAGGTTAAACAGCTAGAAGTATGCTTAAAAATTTGGACAGCCAGACATATTGCTTGACTTGGCTTATCTACACCTTCACTAAAGATTCAAGGTGTACATGTCAAGTGCTATGACTCAGACATAATGCACCAAACATCAACATAATGTATACTCTTCTTCCCACAAAATTGCAACCTTAAATTCCATTTCCAAGGTATTTTATTTTTTCATGTTCCATTAATTAACAATTCGTTGTTTACTAAAACCATAGAAAAGAAACCAATTAACATAGATAGAAGTAATATTGTATTTACATTTTAAAGATCTGTTTCAAGACTCCAGTTGAGATGGAAAAATCTCCTTGCTAGAACTAAAGGAATACAAGACCTTTTATTGGCACATTAGTTTTTCCAAGACTTCCTTGCTGCGTTTTTTACTTCTATTTTTTCAAATTAATCTGTGATCCTTCCTCC